AGCTGTAAAAAAAAAATACAACTTCATGATGTGTGGTTTATATTTGTGTGTGTGTGTGTGTGTGTGTGTGTGTGTGTGTGTGTGTGTGTGTGTGTGTGTGTGTGTGTGTGTGTGTGTGTGTGTGTGTGTGTGTGTGTGTGTGTGTTACTCAGATGGAGCAGGCGAAGCAGGATCTAGGTCGTAGGGACAGTGAGCTGTTGGCTTTCAGGACCAAACTTGAAACTCTTAACAATCAGTTCTCTGACAGCAAACAACACGTGGACGTACTGAAGGAGTCGCTCACTGCCAAGGAGCAGAGAGCTGCCATACTGCAGACTGAGGTACAGTTACTCTACTACTGGAAGAAGTAGTGTTACTATTACTCATCATAAGAAAATCCATCTTTAGTCTGTAAATACTCGTGACGTTGATTGGAATGTTATGTTTGATCACAGGTGGACGCACTGCGTCTCCGTCTGGAGGAGAAGGAATCCCTCCTCTCCAAAAAGAGTACGCAGATATCAGAGATGACGGAGGAGAAGGGCACTCATCAGGGAGAGATCAGCGACCTCAAAGACATGCTGGACGTCAAGGAGCGCAAAGTCAATGTGCTGCAGAAGAAGGTGAAAAAACAATGCACACACACTCGTTGTCATTGCTGTGTTGTTGCACTGCATGTATCGCAGATCGCCATTAAACACTGCGTACTACTGTGATGTCATTGTGATTGGATTTCCTGTTGGAGACATGTAGTGTCCATAGGAGGCTCTGTTTTGGTTTTCTGTCAAGCCATGGTTGCAATCCTGCTAACGAACCCACGGCTTTATTTTAAGCTAACCAGTGTCCCTGCCAATTAAATGTTAAACTCAACTCTCTGTAATTCATATCTCATGGAAACATTATTGAGCTTTTACAGCTTTAACAAAAACGTGTCAAAAGTCACAAAAGAAAGAGGCTCAAGAAGCTTTTCTATATATTTTTTACAAGGATTGCCTGAAGCTGTTTTGCATAAATAATAAATAATATAACTGAAGTTGCAAGCTATTTACTCTTTTATTAAAATGTACTTGCACAGGAATATGATGCTTTCATATGATACCACAACCACTAGAGGGGGCTGCAATACAGGGTTTGGTTTGGGAGCTGAGACAGGCAGACAGACAGACAGACAGACATACATACAGACAGACAGACAGACAGACAGACAGACAGACAGACAGACGGGTAAACACACAGACAGGCATGAAGATATACCAGCAGCATAGTTACTGGTGCCTTCTGCATTTTTAGATGCTTTTTATTGTGTTTTTATGTGTTTCACTCTATATATGATGATACTGTCTTTGCGGTCTGTAACATAAACACAATAACAAACACCGTCTTTCCAGTAAAAAAGGGTTCAGATGTTTCTTCTCGCGAACAGCTAACAAACTGACTGTAAAAATCCCATGAATACTATCCAATTAAAAGTTAAATTCTCCAATAAAAGAGAAAAATAAAAATCCATCGTAGAGTGTGAGCTGATAAATTGATAGAGGCAATCAAGCAGACAGATATAAAGCAGGACAGGGGGGGGGGAGGAGAGACACAGAGTGTGTTTGAAATCAGATGCATACTAATGAGTTCCTCCTGTTCAATAAATGATGACCTCTGCCGTCTTCAAATAGAATACAGTCCGGTGTCTGAGAGGGAGCCGCTGCTGACTCCTCCCACATCTAATCTGTGCTTTCAGAAATTCTTCTTTATTTAAATAGCATGTGGAAAAATACCATTCTTACTTCTACTCCACATTTGTCTCTCCTTTACTCTTGTTGTATGTTAGTCATGAATGGAAATGACCATGAGGGCATATTATTATTCCTTCCTCTGATCTCCCATCATCCTCTCCTCTTTGTCATTTCATGTATTTTTCTGTAAGGAACTTCATGACATAGATGCAGAGAAGCCAGTTACTGTTTTGTTAACATATAACAGTCATTATTACAGACGTTTTTGGGGACTAAAATAGAGTGTGTGTGGGTTTGCAAGTACTGTATATAACCGTGTGTGTCAGGCATCCAGCAGTTGTCAGTTTCAGGAAGTGCAGACGGATCAAAGAGTGTCTCTGCCGCTCAATGTCAAGTGTGTGTGTGAGAGGGGATGAGGTGTCAGTCAAGCTGTCAGCTGAACGGTTGATTAATGAGGTGCTGGAAGTCTTTTACTGTATGAACACACACACAGAAATCTCTATAGCACTGTAAATGTGAGCGGCTCACCTGCGGAGGAGTCAAAGGTTGCATACCAATCTGACTTTCTATTTTTTTGTGACGGGTTGTCAATCGCTTGATTTCCTTTCTCTCAGGCGAAGCGAAAGAAAGAGAGACAGGAAGAGAGGGAGAGTTTTTTTTAACGCATTACATTAGCCCTCAATATGTTATTTTTGTGCTGCTCAGTCTCTCGTTCAATTCCATTTTTTGATGAATACCGCAAAGTTGACACAGCTCCTTATCTTTGTCTGTGATCTTACACACATACATGCGCACACACACTCTCTCATTGTGGGCTCAGGGAGAAAAGAGCGAGTCCTTTCGTTTTTTCTGCTGATTTTGTGTTTTAACAGAAAATGAATTAGCTACCAAATCACTGCGAGAGCAAAGAGGAGGCGGCAGGGAGAAAGAGAGAAAGAGATGGGGGTTCAGAGAGTGTGTGTTTAGAGAAAGAGTTAGAGGTTTCTATCTGACAGCACAGCACTTTCACTATTATGAAGTTTGAATCTGAATAATATTATTTTATCTGATTGTGGGATTGGTTGTATTCAATGTAATGAGTGGTGATGATGCCTATTATTATCTTTATTTGTTGCTGTTAAAGTCTGACACATTAGCCAGGCCAATATTATAAGACAATTGTTGTTAAGTATAGATGAATGTGTATCTGAATACAGTATGAAATCATTTGTGTAGTTTATAATTATTGTATTAATTCTAGGCTGCAATATTAAAATATTTGAGTCTTTCACATATATGAGTTGTTGGTTATAGTTCTTATTTAGGCTAATTTAATTATATATAGATCTTTTGTATAATTATATTTTTTGAACTGAGTGAGTAGGGGTTTGAATACTTTACATTTAAGATTTCAACATGTTACAAAGTAAAAAATATACAGTATATATACTCAACAATAAATAAATAACATTGAAGAACAAACAGTTGGTGAAACGGTTGTCATCACATAACATTGCTCCCCCACTCACCCATACAGACAAGCTTGTGTTTCTTAACATCAGCCAATTCAATTTAAGCATTTAAAAATTCATTATTGTCCGGGCTCTAGTTACCAGCTGTCTCTTCAGTGCTTTATGTTGGCCGACTTTGAGAGCAGATAAACTTACCAAATCTAATGTTTTGCTAAATAAGTGAACAGTGCATCAACCAGAACTCTGTGTGTGTCTCTCTGCAGATAGAGAACCTCCAGGATCAGCTGAGGGACAAAGAGAAGCAGCTGAGCGGCCTGAAGGACCGAGTCAAGTCTCTGCAGACAGACACCTCCAACACCGACACTGCACTGGGAACACTGGAGGAGGCTCTGGCTGACAAGGTACACACACACACACGCACGCACGCACGCACACACACACACACACACACACACACACACACACACACACACACACACACACACACACACACACACACACACACACACACACACACACACACACACACTGCTGTGT